TATTATTGTATAGCTTTTCTTTACTATTAAAATATTATGAACATTTTTTCTGGGCCAAATTTATACTCCTTGAAAGTATAAAAGGCCTTCTAATTTATCATGATGTGGATATACAATAATTTACTTTACCAGTTCCTTGTTATTGAACATTTAGAGTCCTTTAATCTTTTTTTTTTTTTTTTTTGGTGGAACTGGGGATTGAACTCAGGCCTTGTGCTTGCCAGGGAAGTGCTTATTCCACTGAGCCATCTCCCCAGCCCCTTAGATTCCTTTAATCTTTTAAAAAGTATAAAAAGCTCTGCCTTTAAAATTTTAAAACCTTCCCTAATTATTTCTGGATATAAAAATTGAGTTTTTGTACATGGTTCACTAAGTTGATTCTCAGCAATCAACTGTTAAGATTGACTCTTAATAATCCCTCTACAATTGGCATTGTTATGGTAAAACATATGAACACTGGAATCATTTTCTGAGCATGGGAACAACTGAATTTGAATAGTTCTAGTTCCAGTTCTACTAAGCATGCCAAAGTTGATTCCGTGACTTGTCTTCAACTTCAGATCTCCTAAAATCTTTACAGTTTGGTAAATGAAGGAGGAGGTCATTGGTACTTCAGAGCTTGCACTTTCATCCCCAGGAAGGTCAAACTATTTTTTTTAAATGTATTTGGTGCAGAGTCTCACTCCACAGCCTCGACTTGTGGTGATCCCCCTGTTTTCAGCCTCCCCAGTGCAGGGATGACAGGTGTGCGCCACCACGCTGGGTCTGGGTGATCTGCTCAGTGCACCAGGGGGCGGGCCAGTGTGGCATGCAGTACCAAAGGATGGACAAATGTGTTCATTAGCTTTCAAAGTTCATTTTTCTGTGTATTGCCTCTTTCTTTTTTCTCCTAGTCCTTTTTTCTCTTAGTTTTTCTGTCCCTGTGTAAAAGCCCCACGCATAGAAACCATTCTTCCTATATTACTTATGGCGTAAGATTTCTTCACTTCTTTTTCACTTTTGCTGTTTTGATGCTTTTTCCTGTAAAAAGTTTACATCAGTTTCTGTGTAGTCAACTCATGAGGTTTTAGCTCTTTTCTTGTAGGTGTCCTGCTCACAAATTCCTTTCCTTCTCCTTATTTTTGAAGACCAAGTAGACACACTTCCTCCTATAATCTCAGTTGGCTCTCCTTCATCTTGGTCTTCTTAGGTTGCATAGAAGAAAATGCCGGGCCAGAAAGATGGCTCAGAGGCATAAGCACCTACCTGGCAAGCACAAGGACCCAAGTTGGATCCCTGGCCCCACATGCCATTTGGTCTTGGCCCTGAATCCTTGGGTGTGCCATATAGGCCTGGGATGCTGGTGCCCCTCATACCTGTTGTGCAGCCCTTGGAATTGGGTGTGGTGGTACAGGCCTGTAATCCCAGCACTCAGGAGGTTGAGCCAGGAGGATCTCTATGAGCTAGAGACCAGCCTGGGGGCTACAAAAGTGAGCACAAGGCCAGCCCAAACTGCATAGTGAGACCCTGTCTCAAAAAAAAAAAAAAAAAAAAAAAAAAAAAAAAAAAAAAAAAAAAAAAAAAAAAAGCCTAAACTTGTTAGACTATGATCAACAGAAACTGATTTTTCATAGTGTGTTCAACATCATGGTGCCAGCAGATTTCCTGTCTGGTGGGTAGACAGCAGTCCTTACATCTGGCCTCTCTCGGTGGAAGATGCCCAGTGGCACACTGGTTCCGTTCACCAGAACCACCCTGGGAGCCTCATCTCCCCAACTCCCCCACTCCAGAAACCAGCTCCTTTGGGGTTAGGACTTCAACCTGTTCATTTGAGAGGACGGGAACATCGAGCCTGCATGCCTTTCAGGCATGCCCTTTGCTCCCCACACGGGCAGCCCTTTCTTCTCTGCCTGTCTTGCTTCCTCTGGGACAGTACCCTGATCATCCTGGCACCTCTTCTAATGGCTTAGAGGGCCAGCTGTGTGGATTCCTTTGGACCACTAGAGCCACATACAAGACCAGCCCTATATACAAGATCATTTGGAAGCAGGGTGTGTCCTCTGTCCCCAAGCCAGCGTGATAGCTCCAGTAATTCTAGCCAGCTCCAAAATTTTGCAGATAGGGAATCTAAAGGATTTGCTCTGAGGCACTTTTCTGGCCTGGCTAACCACAACTGGTACCACTACTGCCACCCATCCCACAAGCTCCCCAGAACAAAGTCTTTGATGATGTTTTGCAGGCACCTGCAGTTTCCTAGAAGTCTCTTAGGTCAGGAGTAGCTTTAATGGCTTTGGGCTGAGGCCTCTGAGGATCCGGAGAGGAGGATGAACGTTCTGCCCTGGGGTGGGTGCGAAGCGTGGGCGGAGGGGCCCCGCGCGCGGGAATCCCTGAACGCCTCTGCCTCTCCCTTCCCTGCCTGCCCACAAGCTTGCCCTGTGCCGGCGCCCGCAGAGAGGCCTCCCGCTGGCCGGGAGCTGGGCGCTATCAGTTCCGGACGCTCCGGGCGCTGCGGCAGCTGCAGGTCCCTGAGCCGCGAGGCGGCCTCTCGCCGCGGGCTATGCGCGTGGACAGGGGCGCGGCCCCGGCACCGCCTATACCCGGGCTGTGCTCACTCCGTGTGCCCAGGTTCCGCTGCACCCGAGCGGAGAGCGGCGGCCCCGGACGGCGGTGCCACCCGGCCCCTCGGAGGACGCTCGGGACAGAAGTCACGCGCGGCGGGATGGTTCCCTGCGGGGGACCGCGGCCGGTGCTGCTGCTGCTTGCGCTGCTGCTCGTGGCTCCCGCCCAGGCCAGCTTGCAGCCGCCCTTCTTCGACCTGACTAAGGTGGCGCGGATTTGGGCCACCGCCACCTGCGGAGAGAGAGACCCGGAGAACCCGCAGCCTGAACTTTACTGCAAGTTGGTGGGGGGCCCCTCCGGCCGAGGCGACGAGCTCTGGATCCAGGTAGGGTTCCTCTCAACAGGCCGGCAACCCGGGAGGTCCCCGCGCACGCGGGTGCCCCGAGAGGGCAAGGGCGACCGCAGCCTCCGGGGGCCGGGACCTCGCAGTGAGCCTGGGCTGGCGGGTGCCTGGGCTGGAGGCCGGGACCGGCGCCGTGCGCGGGCCGAGGTCGGGTAAGCCTCTTGCCAGGCCCGGCTCTCCCCGACTGAAGTCCGGGAGAAGCCTGCAGCAGGCACCTCCTGTGGTATATGATGAGAGAACTTTCGGATGCTATCAGTTGTGTTACTCACTGTTGTTTCCAAAAAGATGGAAACACTGAAGCACCACCAGGCAGTCACAGGGGTGCAGGAGATCTTCAGCGGCCAGAGATCTGAGCAGCGCGCAAGCCCTGGGGGGAGGACTCCGGGGTTCGAGCCCCGCAGCTCTCGGGGTGCGTTCCAGGCCCAGCGGCACTGCCTCACCACCCGCAGAAGCACAGCTGCGGGAGGGGGGCCGGGAAGCAGCTTTTGTCCCGCGGTGAGACCAAGTATTTGGCTAGGGTTCTGACTCCACATCCTTTAGGCAAAGCCGTCAGCACCTCGCTGTCTTGGAAAAACTGCGAGGGAAAGAAGCTTTGCGAGAAAATGGAATGGGGCGGGGGGGGGGGGGGGGGGGGCCCTAGCTCAGTTCTTTAAGTGGCTGCTTCCACAAAGCTGTCAGCCTCAGGTTGCTGTAGTTCGATCCAGATCCCCAAAACTCAAGAAAGCCAAACCTGCCCTGAAGGCATTCGAAGAGAGAGAGAGAGAGAGAGAGAGAGAGAGAGAGAGAGAAAGAAAATGGAATCGTTAGGGTTCCCAAAGTGCAAGTTCAACCTGGCCAAGGAGACTCGGTTTTGGGCCACTGCCACCTGTGGAGAACTGGCCTCTGGTGGCCCTGGCCCAGCCCTACTGCGAGTTGATGGGGAGTCTAGGTCAGCGTGTCAGAGCCTCTTTTGACCCGGAACTTGCAATGCTACAGGTCTTACCTATTAGCAAATTCAATCATGTATTACCACATCAATGTCCTGTGTGAGAGAAAAGCTTAAAGTAACAGCGGTGAAAATACTTTTGACAGCCTCTGGATAACTTTGTTTTCTCTATCTTGTGATTGTGATAACTAAATATAGAAATGTACAGATTTTGGCGAGTGTAGTGGTGTGCACCTGTAATCCCAGCACTCAGCAGGCTGAGACAAGAGGATTGCTTGCAGTTTGATACCAGCCTGGGCTACAAAGTGAGCTCAAGGCCATCCTGAGCTACATAGCAAGACCTTGGCTCAAACAAACAAACAAACAAACAAACAAACAAAAACTGTGTAGATTTTGATATGTTGGTTTAGCAGTTATAATTCAACAATTCAAAGTGATATCCTATTAGTATTAGATTTTAGTCAAGGGGTTGTGGAGCTGAGAACATATGCTAAAAAAACAGGTAGATTCCAATGGAAGAGCTGCCTTAGCTAGGGAATTCTAGAACCAGCTACATAATTTACAGAGTCTGGAACAAAACAGAAATATGGATTCCTGGTCCAATGACTACTAAAACTGTCAAGATGGTGACAACAGCGCATTCTACCAAGTGGAGGGTCCTTTTTATTTTTATTTTATTTTTTTGTCTTTTTGAGATACAGTCTCCCTACACAGCTCAGTATAGGGAGCTCACTTTGTAGCCCGGACTGGTCTTGAATTCACAACAATCCCCCTGCCTCAGCGTGCTGAGTGCTGGGATTACAGGCGTGCGCCACCATGCCCAACTCTTCAGTTACTCTGAAGACTGTCAAAAGTAGGAACTTGGTTGCTAATTGTTCTCTTTTCAGATGGTATTCAGTATTTTCTGCAAGGAAAACATGTAGTTCAATATTTTAAACAGTAGACTCAAGATGTACCACATCCCTGGTACCACTTGCCGTGCTGGCCCTGCCCCTCAGGGTGCTGAGCCGGTGACCAAGTTGGGCATGGTGGCACTCGCCTGTAATCCTGGTGCTGGGGAAGCAGAAAACAGGTGGATTACTAGGAGTCCAAGCTGTGTGGTAAGACCCTGTACCAAATACATTAAAAACAATAACAACAAAAGCTGACCACAAATTTTCTTTTGGGAACTATTAAAATATATTAGAAAATTTTGTTCCCATGCTTTCAAACTGCAACCATGAGTATTTTTAGAGTTACACAGTTCTCTCAGTTTTCTCTGTTGAGTAACAAAAGCATCTGTTTTTTCCAAGGCATGTATTTCCTTAGGGAAGTGTTTATTTTCTACAAGTTGTTAAAATAGCAGCTTTTGGGGTCGGGGAGATAGCTCAGTAGAATAAGCGCTTACCTGGCAAGCGCAAGGGGCTGAGTTCAATCCCCAATTCCACCAAAAAAAAAAAAAAAAAAAAAAAAGCAGCTTTTCTTTGATGGGACAGAACGAGTGCCTGCAGTACTCTGTAAATATCTGCCAGGTAGTATGCCCTTGAGAGCCACTTGTCTTCCCAGCAAAAGTCAGCAACTTTGGATTTTTTTGGTAGAAAAATAAAACATGTAAATCTGCTTTAGAAGGCTTTTTTAAATATTTTACTCTATGGTAACTCATGAGTTCTGTGTAGCCCAAAGAATTTCATGGCCACTTCCCATTTCAATAGTGGGGTGTAACTTATTTCTTATTTCAGAGAAAGAATCCTTATGCTCATATCACCAGGCACGTATTAAGTCTGTGCATCCTGGTCAGACGGTGCTCTTCCCAGGTCCTCCAGACCACTGGTAACTTGGGACTGCTGACTTGGGTGGCCAAAGGTCCTAAGTCCATCTGTGTATCACATATGAGTAGAACTGGAATTTTTGTTTTTAAGTAAAATAAGGTAAACCAAGAGCTTTCCTGTTTTTCTTCACGCACTGGGCTGGGCTGCCTGACACACCTGATATTGGAAAGAGTGGTCCTAATGATGTGAACCCAGGGGGCCACCGAGACCCTCATCTGCCTCCTTCCATCCAGACGTAGCCCGAAGGACTTTCCCTCCTCACCACTGACTGTGCAGAGTTAACATGACCATGCAGGAGGGCCAGAAAGATCATGTGTTCTGTTCCCACTGGTTTCCCAGAGGAGGTCATTAACGTGGGCTCCTGGCCCTAGACAGGGCAGGAAGTGACTTTTAGCCTGCAGGAAGAAAATGCTGTCTGGTATAGCATGCTTTTCTTCTGCAAGTAAGTGCTGAATCAGAAGCCCTGCAGAGCTGCGCTTTCTGCTTGCATGGGGGAGGGTTTAGGAAGGTGTGCTGTTTGCTGACATGTTGGGGACAAGAAGTGGACACAGAGGGCCAAGGTGGGACTGCTAGACACTCATAGCCCAGCGCTGGTAGCAGTTGGTACCAATCTGCCTTTCAGAAAAGTACAAGATAGTGGGCTGGTGAGATGGCTCAGTGGTCTAAAGCACCTACTTAGAACAAGCTTAGCAAAGCACAGGGGCCGCGGTTCAATCCCCCCAGCACCACATGCCAGCCAGCCCCGCCCCCTGGTGGGCTGAGCTGGCCACACACACACACACACACACACAAAAAAATAAAATTAAAAAAAAAAAAAAAGAAGTCAGCCAGTAACAAATGCTGGAGAGTCTGTGGGGAAAAAGGAACTCTATTCCATTATTGGTTGGTAGTACAACTACTATAGAAATCAGTGTTGAGAGTCCCCCCCCCAAAAAAAAAAGGACAAGATGGTGACAGACAGTGGAAAGGGCAACACGACTGTGATTTACACTTCGGTTGGCTGTAGCAGATTGAACCTGCTCCTGTACAGCTCAGATGGGACACTGAGAAGAGTTAACCAAAATAATAGCTCTATTTCTTTGAGCTTTCTAAAAGTAACTCATGGAGGTGAGCCATGGTTTAGAATTTCAGGCCAAAAAGATTTTGCAGAAAATATAAAGATAAGAGAATAAAGGTCACATCTTAGAAGATTTGTTTCTATGAAGTGATTATTTTTGTGGCACATTTACTACACCGATGCTGCTACTGAATGGTAAGTGTGCTAATAGGAAGAGTGTTTTAAAAGTCTGTATCTTGGTGTGTGTGTGTGTGTGTGTGTGTGTGTGTGTGTGTGTGCGTGTATTCACCTATTTAGAGTCAGGGAACTCTCACCTATTTTATTTAGGGTTTCAGGTTTTTTTTCAGATTCCAACCAGAGGGTCCATGAGATAGCTCAGTGGACTAAGTGCCTGCTTAGGCAAGTGCAGGGAGCAGGGACCAGGTTTTGATCCCTGGCACCACATGCCACACTGGCCCTGCCCGTAGGTGTACTGAGCCAGCCACCAAGACCGGGCATGGTGGTGTACACCTGTAATCCCAGTGCTGGGGAGGCTGAAAGCAGGAGAATTGCTATGAGTCCAAGCTGCCTAGTGAGACCCTCTATCAAATACATTAAAAAAAATTCCAACCAGAATCTAAGAGTAACTGGAAGCCAATAAGCGCTAGTTTTCCTCCAAAGGAGTTGCATCACTCAGAGTTACTCCAATAAAAGCATGCAATCATCAAGCAAAGATTTTCTTCATTTAAAAAAAAGGAACAACTGGAGAGATAGCTCAGCGGCATAAGCACCTGCCTGGAAAGTGTGACATCTGTCACCCATCGATCACCAGGGCTGGCTAGGCGAGTGTCCCCTTCCTCCCTCAGTGCTCTGTGTGCATCCCCCCAAAGCTGCGCACTCAGTGGAAGAGGACGACCACCCCTGATAGAGGAGGATCGCTCCTCATCAAGGGTATGCTAGTAGCTACGCTCCCCTGCTAGAACCTCCAAACAAGTTCTCAAAAAGTGAAATTGTAAAAATAGCGAATTCTGTATCTTGTTTGGTGTGTGAAAAATGCTCCCTGTACTGTCTCTGGATATGAGGGTTCCTTTAGAAAGGTTTTATGTCCTCATTACCACTACAGTTCGTTTCTCCTTTTCTTTATCTTTTTTGTCTTTTTGAGACAGGTCTTACTATACAGTTCAGGTGGACTTTGTGTTCACTTTGTAGCCCA